TTTATTATATTTCATCTCAAGACCAGGTTTGAAATATAGCTCCATTTCTTTCAGAAATACGAGATACACAACTTACAAGAATTACGGTTCCAGAAACAGGCATTCATAATATGCACAGAAAAATGAGTTATTATAGAATACAAGGACCGGCGAAATATGCAACTAGAGAATTAGAAATGCATCAGGAATATAATGATACTTGGAACATATGCCATCTCAACCGCTAAGAAGAGGGGTCAGAAAACACACTGCTTTTCCGGACTGTAGTTCAGCTGCGGCGGATTTCTCAGTAGTGCTTGAATCAGGTTTTGCATGCTTTGACGCACTGCCATTGTCTTTATCGTGCGCTTTCATGAACCATTTTCTAATATCCGCCTGTCCATCACATCATAATTTTAATAGTAAAGAAAACCGGAAAAGGCATCATCAAGTGTGAGGTATGTAAACGTCATTCTCGAACGAGTCCAGACTCAAAAGAAAACTCCAGTCGGGGAGAAAGATATAAGAAATGGCTTCCTTCATTATGACTATTAAAGAAAGAAACGAGTAACGCAGCAATTAAAATTGAATAAAAAACCCTAACTCACCATTATGGAGTTCAAGAGGGAGCGCAACAGGCAAAAACGCTCACTCTACTATCAAGTTCACCGTTCGACCGAGCTCTGAAAGTTCATCAAAAATCAGAATCATTAATTCTTGATACCGTATCCCGATAATCACAACCGAGTAACTCGACTACGCTATGATCATCAACAAAACTAGCAAGTTAACAAAAACATCTGTCTCCAAGAATGAGGAGCAGGCGGTCCTCGACATTTAGGGTTTTTCAACAACCGTTTAAAACAAGAAGAACAATAGACCGCGAGAAAATCTTCCACCGCTCACTTCCGGGAATGTGAAGAAGTTCGAATCGTCATATCAGTTTTTCACCGAATGAAACTCAATTGACATGGAAGAGAAGGCGATTAGATGAACAAAAACGAAGAAAATCAGGTTCCGGTGAGCAATAATACCGAAAAGAAGTCGAATATACCGTTCAGTTCGTCTTAGTCGAAGATCGCCGGCTGCTTCCGTGCCTTGGAAGCTGGAGGGAGATTGCAATGGCTCGAAGACTGTGGCGGGTGAGTGAGTATCGTAAAAAAAAAAATATGATGCCACGTCAAACCTGTAATCGCCTGTAGACTTTTTTTAGGACATAAATACCCTTACTCATAAAACTAAATTAATAAAAATATAATTATTCAATTTCACACGTAATCTTAAAAAATAAATCTAAATTTTAAAAATTTCAATTATATTTAAATTTAAAAATAAAAAATAAAAAATAAAAAAATACTCTTTATTCGAACTCTTCTAGACTCTCAATTTCTTCCTTCGACAAATTTATGAGCATAGCTAAGTCGTTAGACTAAGATGACTCTCCCCAATGGTACAATATTGTCCACTTTGAGCATAAGCTTTCATGGTTTTGCTTTGGGTTTTCCGAAAATGTCTCGTACCGATGGAGAGAGTATTCTTTATTTATAAACCCGTGATCATTCTCTAAATTAGCCGACGTGGGACTTTCAGAGTCTTAGTCATTTTTTACTACCTTCGAGGAGTCATTTGTTCGACATTTGAGGATTTACCAATCTATTGGCACGACTAAGTTTAGGGCATGACTTTGATGTCATGTTAGACGCACACGATTCTCCACAATGGTATGATATTGTCCACTTTGAGCATAAGCTCTCATGGCTTGACTCCATAAGGGTATGTCTCTAATATCATATTAATAATCACGAACCTCCATAATGGTATGATATTATCTCTTTGAACATAAACCCTTGTTGCTGTATTTTTTGTTTTCCAGAATGCCTGGTATCAATAGAGATAATGTTATATTTTTTCTTAATTAGCAAACGTGCGATTATTTCTGTCAGTAGCCCACACCAATTCAACACAAGAAAGCGAAAAATCAACCCAACATAAAATACTTGGCTTATGCTTATTTGACCACTTGAACACGTGACCAAGACATTGAGACCTTATTAACATGGCCCCATTTTTCTAATAACCATACAAAAAAAAAAAAAAAAAAAAAAAAAAAAAGG